AAACCATATCTCAGGAAGTACTCAACCGATTTCAATGAAATTCGGTATATAATATTTTCTTAACACCCTGATGACATGTACCAAATATAGGTGAAACCGGTTCACAACCACGCTTGAAATCTCGATTATCACTTTATCATGCGAGAGTATCAAATGTTCGGTGACACCCGAACTTAGCGCTTCCTTACTTGTTTTTTTTTAAATTTATTTGGTTGATTTTCAGCCTTTTTTGTTTGCTTTGCTTTTTACACTTGGAAACTCTTGACTTCGAATTCAAATTGCTCCACCCATGGTTTTATATACTATACGTTTAAATTTCAGTTTGTCGAGCTGACCGATTTAGTTTTCAATTGAACTATTTTCGACTTTTTCTCTGCTCTTGCTGTTCCTCTTTATTTTGTTTTTAGATTTTTTTTTTGTTGAAAATCATCTGAATATCGTAAGCGACGACAGTTTTCATTGCAATGGCACACAAAAATTCCATTGCCAAGTATTTAACTGACCTCAATTGCGTCGACTGATACCTGTCAGCCGCATGCAAGTTGTGGCAAAGTCAAGCAAATCCTGGTAGGATCCAAACGACTATTGGAATACAATATTTATGCGCTAGATTTTCAATGACATACAGTAGCTTTGAGCTTTCAAACGGTTTAATGGCTATGTGGACACATATACAAATATACAAACGCGCTCTAAAATATATACAATTACTTTATATTGAATGTATGTATATATAGCTACTAAGCCCCCGTTTACCTTCGACTCGGCACCCCGAGTATTTCAGTTTTTTTGGCTAATTCTACAGTATTTTATACTCACGCTCGCATGCATATATACGTACATCCTGTTATGTTTTTGCCACTGACAGCCGTTGCATTTAAATAACCCAACTGAGGGGTAGGAGCTAGTTGTTGGTGTTTGGGCAATATCTGCTTGTAGCATTTCCGAAACGTTTAACATTTGAATAGGTCAATCAAATGCGTTTGCCTTGCAACAGTCGGTAATAGCGGCAAATATAACTGTAAATACTTGGAAATCCTATATAGGTATTTGTGTTTGTGTATGCCGCTTGCTGACAACTCAAGGCAATGCCAGCGGGCGTTTAGCTAATGAAAACTCATGTCAACTGACAATCCATTTGTGTGGCAATATTCGAGTGAGCGATTGAGTTACGTACATATGTATTATGTATTCAAGGTTGGCTAACTTGACAAATAAGCGTATCACGCTGTGAGGCGTGGTGGGGGTGCGCGACTTCAAACTAAGCGCGCTTGTTGCATTTTACTTGCGCCAACTAAGATAAGACTATTACTTTGTGATACATAGATAGTTGATATGGAGACTATGTAGGGACTAACCGAATTCTGCAGGTGTTCCAAAATCTTTATCTCTCGGGTTCGGGCTTCCAGCCTAACTATACCATCTGTGTGTATAATATTGGTTGTCGCTCTCAACTTTATAACATTCTGTATGCCAAATATGTTGTAACTAAGACATTTTTGTGTCCCTAAGACTTCTTCCGCCGATAACCTGCTTCTGCAGAGTTATTTCTCTCTATTTTCGTTCTGTAAATGAGTCATTTACAGCGCTTTTTCATACCGACTTTAGTCTGAACCCTTTGGTTTTAGCCTATACATTTATCGTGTAACCCTGTCTTTTACACAGCATTATTTTGTCATAAGTGTCTATTTTCTAATGAGTGGTATCCAATTCCTTTCTTATCCCTTCCTCAGCTTCTGTGGATAAGTTAGTTTCTGCCGATTTTGCTTTGCGTTTTTTCCTCTCCTATGCTGGATTCCTATGACTATTTCCATTCTTCCTACTGGTTTTAACGGTCAGGGAGGCTGAGTAAGCTAGCTATGAATAAAGTGATGGTTACGGCAATAATTTCACAGAATGTCCTTAGAAGCAGGGAGGCAATAGATGTAGCGGCTGCCGAAAAGCTGGTGCATATGAGCTGATGAGACTGCCAAAAGTACCAACTGACTATCAAATCAGTTCAGCAAAGAACGGACAGACGGATCAGGGCTAGAAAGAGTCCTTAAGAAATTCACTTGCGATATCACCGAAAAAACGTAGGCTTTTTACTCATACGGTCTCGAAAGGACTGCAGGACGGTGGTGGCCAAATGATGGCATGCAAACAACTGCCATCACAGGCGAGCCGGATAAGTATAAATAATAACGATTCTTGCAGGAAAGTAGGCTCAAAAGAGACGCTGAAACACCACCTAATAACTCATCTAGAACTCGTCTTACAAGTCTAGGTGTTTCGAAGTTGAAGAAACCAGACAAAGCATCAAACTTATTGTAGATATAAAGTTGCTCTTAAAATTAGCAAAAAGCGTTGACGTCCTAATACTTGACCTCTAATTAAACTAAACATCAATCTGGTATTACTAAGGACTATTAGGTCTATTTATGGTGTGATAGGCGATCAGTGCAAACTAACTCAATCTAAGCTCTGGTTCGATTTTAATTACAAGCACTTAAACATGCGGGTAGTGAACGAGAGCAAGACGAAATATATCCTGCCATATAAAAAAAATAGTCATCACACTCGCGACTTGGACCCTTGCTCCTCTGTGGACAGTCATAACTTCGAAGTCGTAGACAATTTCGTTGGAACTAGCATTAAAACTAATAACACTAATCCAACGCAGAATAAGTCTTACCAACAGGTTTTATTTCGAAGTGATTAGAAAATCGAGAAGTAAACCAAACTTTACAAGACACTCATCATCCTGCTACTTGGTACACCATGGACGATGACAGCAGCTGATGAGTCGACGTTACGAGTTTTCGAGAAAAAGTTTCTGCAGAAGATTTATGCTCTTTTACGTATTGACAACGGCGAATACCGCAGTCGATGGAGCGATGAGCTGTACAAAATATATGACGACACTGACATAGTTTAGCGAATTAAGAGAAGGCGGCTTCGTAATATCGTCCGAGTAAATAAAAATACTCCAGCTCTGAAAGTATTCGACGCAGTACCTGCTGGTGGAAGTAGAGGAAGAGGAAGACCTCTACTCTGTTGAAAAGAGGGGGTGGAGAAGGAACTGCCTGCACTTGGAAGCTCCAATTGGCCACAAACACCGAAAAGGAATTGTTCTTCTGCGCACTATCGTATTAGCACACATTAAGTGAAATCAGAAGTCTTATATTTTCGAATCTCACATATGTATCTACAGACCATTCTATAGTATTTTTAGTTATGAACACAATATCTTCTATTTAAAACATCCAAACTTATTGCTGAGTGATGATTTCATAATTCCAAACCTTTTATGAAATAATCAAATCTTTATTATTTGTTTGAAATACACTTCACAACTATTTCGCATTGTTGCGCACTCTGCGTGTCAGCGAACGTCATGAATGTGTCACCGCCGGTCGAGTACCCGCAACCACAGAGAACGCAAAAATGCGGCGTTAACTTTCATACACTTAACTTGGCTAACTTTTCTAATTCGAAACAATTTTGCGACTTCCTTTGCTGCGGCGCCCGCACTCAAACACACACACAAAAATACGAACATAGCAACAAAGAGTTATCAAGGCGTGACGCGCCGCCGTCGTATATTCAAAGTGCGCCGCGTTGCTTAACTTTGTCTTGCTTTGGGCTACAACACCATATATCGCCGCTTGTCAATTGCGACGTCACCATAAACGGCATAAATTCATCGCTGTCGCTTTTATTTTCATTCAACATCCGCTGATGCGAGCGCTGCTCTCCTGTCGTCGACGGCGCTGTCGTCATAGCCGCCGCTGGCAGTGAATTCCTTACAAATGTAGCGAATTTAACTGAATAACTCCCACAGCAACTTTTAGCTACTCGCAAGTTGTGTCGCTATCGCCAGCTCAGCGTACGTCCTTCCGTCCACCAAAAGAGGGGGGAATTTTTTATTTAAACTACCGCAAAAAATTCCTTATTGGCGTTGCTGCAAAAACAAAGCGACTTCTAAAGTTGCTCCATGCTTCGCTTTGTAAGTTACTTGCTGTCTTTGCAAAATTTCCTCGTAACTTCGTGGCGTTGGCGACAGGACTCGCACGCACGCTCGCCTACACTACACTTCGGCTTGCGGCGCACGATAGCCAGTCGTTGGAGCTCGCCTTCAGCTGCTGTTTCATTTTGTCGAGTTCAGTTCGCAAAACGCTGTGACACGAAAAGGATTATTAACGCGGACGAAACGTTCAAGCGTTGCGTAGTGAAGCGACTTAGCGCTGAGCAGCTTAGTGGATCGTATTCATTATAGAAGCATACTTTTGTGTGCCACTTAGTTTTATTGAAGAAAAAAATAATAATAATTGTATTTTTTTTACAAAAGTTTTATCAACGACTGTTTACTTTTAATAAAAAGTTCAGTGTATTCTGCCGTCTTTTTTAGTGCAAGTGTTTTTAAAAAGCGTACGCGATGTGCAGCTATTACAGCGCGCCTACAAGTGTGCTACATTTGCTCATCTTGCCGGTCATCTTGCTGCTGCTGCAGTGCATACCGAATGGTTAGTTAGTTTGTGTTCCAAAGCTGAAAGCTCAACTGATTAAAACAAAGCAACGGATGTTTAAACAAAACTTAAATTCATAAAAAATTAAGTTAACCACTAAATAATATATATAAATATTATAAATAAATCGTTAAAGA